ATGCCTCTTTATCTTTACTAGAGTTATATAACTAGCGGCCTTTACTTTAAAGGGGAAAAATAAAAATTTAAATTAACTATAATTAAGGAAGATATATAATTAGATAATCGAGGTCTTTATAACGCCTTTAAGTATACTTAGAAGTAAGTTAGAAGGGGAGTGCTAAGGGTCTTATCCCCCCCCCCCCTTAACGGGCTAATGTCTATAAGGGTATAATCTTACTTATTAAACTATCCTTAAAAAAGCGTCTATAAAAAACATTACCTTAATAAAGCTTTCTTAATCCCTATAGATATTAATTTAGTCGACTTAAATTTCCTTATATAGCTAGTCCGGCTATATAGGGGTTCGTTTAAAAATTCGTCTCTTAGTTTTCCCTTAGCTATAGTATTTATATTTAATAGTCTTTAAGCCCCTTATTTATACGCCCTATTATTAGCCTAGCTTATATACAGCTAAGGGGCCTAGGTAGCTAAGTTATATATACTAAAGAAGGCCGTTTTCTTAAGCTATTAAAAGAAGGTCTTTTAAACCTACTTTCTTTTAAGTAAGGAAAGCTAACTTCTTAAGTAGTTCCTTCCTATAAATAGGTTAGAATTCGAGAATAAATTAACCGAATCTCTCCTTAATAAGCTTAATCGTTTAATTTTTCTAGACTAGCCTTATAAGCTTAGACGTTATATCTTAAAAGATTCCTTCCTCTTAAGGAAAGTAAAAGGAAATTAAGCTTATTAAAAATTAAAGGTAAAAAGCTACCCTTTTTCGTTAAAGAATTTATATAGACCTATTAGGTAATTTTATCGTAAAATTTACCCTTCTATATCCCTCTATCTATACGGTTAATTCCTTAGTAATAAGGTATTCCCTCTATACCTTTTTAAAGGACTAGAATCGTAAGAGTATATTATAAATATTAAGGGAAGTACTAAAGTTAAGGATAGCTAATTTTTATAGGGGATAGTTAAAGGGTCTTAATAGGTAGTCCTACTAATCTATAGGGAAGATAAAGGCCGGATTTACTATACTAATAATTTTTCCTTAAATTTATAGGAATAAGGGTAGCTATATTAGTTACTATTTCTTAGTAACCTAAATCTTATCTATCTTCTTTTATAATAAGGGGTCCTCCTTAAGAGACTATTATATCGTTTCTTATAGCCTCTTTAAAGGGTTAAATCCTTTAGGTCGGTTTTCCTTAAAGACCTACTAGTATTATAATAACTAATAGCCTAGGGATTTATAAGCTAGGCAGCTATTTTATCTAGTCTTTTATTTCTTCGAGGAATCCTTATCCCGATCTAAAAGGTTTACTTAAAAACCCCCCTTTTTTACCCCTTATTACTAATTTTAACGAGGTTCGATTTCGACTAGTTCCTTAATTTTTCGACTAACGGACTAAAAGGTCTATTAAGGGACTAGTCGGGCCGGACTAACTAACGGGGCCGGGCCCGGAGTAGTAAGCGGGGCTAGGGCCGGGACTAAGGCAGCCGTTAAAGACGGGGTTAAGGCTCTCGAGGGAGGAGGAGCTAGAGGGGCAGCAGCCGCAGCAATAGTAGCAGAGGCCGTAGTAATAGGGGCTATAGCAGCTATAGGGGCAGTAGGTCGAACCGTCTAGGTTAAGTACTAGCTACGAAGGAATAAGACTACTTATTATTATACTCTAGTAGTCTCTTTATTTAGTTCTTAGCTAGCTTCTTAAAAGATAGTCGAGTAACTATTACTAATAAGCTTTATTAGTAGAGATATATCCTATAGCTATTAGCCGGAAAGAGCTTCTATAAGAAAGTATTAGTTAGCTTCCTTAAGGATTTCTTCTTACTTAGCTAGTTATAAAGAAGCTAGTAGGCTCCTAGTAAAAAAGGCTCCTAGGTATACTATATAGGTCTTCTTAATACGGTTAGTTATATAGCCCCTTAAGGGAGCTATTAAGGTCTCGAGCTTTAAAAGCTACTACTTAAGGGTCTTTTCTTTTTAAAGAGAAATTAGCTTTATAGTACTACCGGATTCTATTATCGCTATATAAGTAGTAGTTAGTAGCTTTATCTTATAAAGGTATTCCTTATAATAACTCTCGTAGTTACCTAAGGTAGTAGAAAAAGCTCTTTACTATATAAAGGTTAACTTAGAAGAGAGGGAAGCTCCCTCTATAAATTCTATTGCCCTAAGGTAAAGAGGGGGCTTAAAAGGGTCCTACTTATTAAAGAAGACTAAATTATAAATAGTTCTATCTATATAAGCGTATAGCTCCTTTACCTACTTATCTTAATCTTAGGGCTTTATAAGAATCGCTTTATAGACTATAAGGATAGTAAAGGAGTCGTTTTTCGATATTATTATAAAATAGGGGGTAGAAAAGTTAGTTAAAAATCGGCTTTTTTAATAAGAAGGGTAAAAGGAAGTTATAAAGGATATAAGAAAGGTGCCTTTTATAGTAGCTAGAAGGTATAGGAATTCTATTCCTCCTAGGCTTATAACTCTTATAAAGAGAGATATAAGAAGTATATAAAAATATATAAAGGTAAAATTAAAAGTAAGGGGTCGGATAGGTAGGGTAGAGATATTTAATTCTTATAAGGGTAGTAATTATAGTAGGGGAGTAATTATTATATTGCTTTAATTATCCTTCTTTCCTCTATCTAACGCCCCTCTTTATACCCGTCTAGTATCTTAATTAATAAAGAAGATCCTACTTAAAGAAGCTACTAATATCCTCTTAACTACTAAGCTTTTTACTGGTTTTTTCCCCTTTATTCTAGCTATTGCCGGTATATCCGTCTTATCTCTCGCTACCTTTATAGGAAGCTATCGCTACTTCTACTTCCCCTCTTATCCCTACCCTCCTCTCTATACCTCCTTTTAGCTCCTTCCTTAAAACCTGTTTTTTAGCTTCCTTAGTCCCTCTTACTATAGGATATCTCCGAGAACTATAAAATTAGGCTATGCTTTGCGATAAGTATAGGACCGCTACGAGGCCTTATAAGTATATTCTTTTCCTTTTAGTCTCTTACTATAGATATAAATCTTAGTACGTTCTTACTTTATACTTCTTTATCTTTACTAAAGCTATATAATAAGTAACCTTTATTTTAAAGGGGAAAAAATAGACGTTTAAACTAATTAATATTAAAAAGGATATTTAATTAAATAATCCGCGCTCCTTTAAAGTCTTTAAGTATACTTAGGGGGGCTAGGGTTTTCCTCCTTTATTAAGGGTAGTACTTATAAGGGTACGATCTTACCTATTAAAGTAGTTATTAGTATTAAATATTTAAAAGAAAATAAGGGGTCTTTATTAAGAGCTTTTTAAGCTATTATTATATAGAAATTTTATACTTTTAATATATTAATATATCTTAAAGGTATTAAAGAACTATATAGTAAAGAGATTAATAACTTAATAAGTAACTTTAATATTAAAGTCCTTAAGCTAAGATAATTATATTAAAAACTTATATTATAGGATAAAGGCTAGATCTACTAGGTATAAGCTAGAGATAGGAAGAGCTACTCTTATCTTATATATTAGATAGCGAGGACCCGTCTAGATATAAGACGGACCTAGGGTCTAGATAGTTAAAAGGATAAGCTTTTTACTCTCACTACTTAGATAATATATCTTATAACTATCTAGAGCTATAGGAGGAGAGGAATGGGGATGGATGTCTCACGGTCTCACCTCTCCGCCGGGATAATGCCCAGCAGCTCCATGCTATTTCCTAAACCCTGGCGGACGCAGACTGCAGCACGGGCGAGCATAACATCACGCCCTTATTTTTTCCTGCAACTTAGATTACGTCGTAGGACGACGAGAGCTAATATTCCAGACGGAACAAGTAGGCGAGTATGGTATTTGGCTCGAGGTTTCGCAGGGCCGTGGTTGTTAGGTCTAGATATTGCGCTATCAGACGCAACAGGTCGACATAGTGCCGTTTGCCTGTCTCGGTGTCGAGTGCCGTAGGGTGGTTCTCGACATATTTAGCGATGTCGTCTCTTGTAAATCTGGCTTTACGCAGAATCGAGTTCAAGCGTGCGTGGCAGTATTAAACATAGGGTCCCGCATCACCCTCAAACGACGACATCCGTACGATATCGAATAGGTAATTGTTGACTCGCTTGCCCGACATATCCTACACCATAACGGCAGATATGCCGATTCGGTAACAGCCTCGGGGTCCGGGACCTTTGCGTACTTGGTGGCATTACGGCGCATCACCTCATGCGTGGGTTTTCCGGTCTAGTCGAGAATTTCGCCAACTTGACGTTGCCAAGCCGTGAGGACATGCCGATGACTTTGCCGATGATAGTATGCTGTAGGCGGGCGGCGAGGTCGGCGCGTCCTATTAGCTTAATAACTTTGAAGAAGCGCTGGAAATAGAGATCTTGCTCCGATGACACGACATAGATCATCTAGTCGAAGGCGTATTTATTCTCCCTCTCCAACACGGCAGCCACGTCCCGCAAAAGATAGGTAGTAGTGCCGGTACTTCCGCGGACGACGGCAATATCGAACGCCTTAGTGTTGTGCTTCTTGAAATCTATGGCCCACGACCCGTTATTCTCTTCGCACACTCCCTTCTCTTTTAAGATGCGCTCCACGGTCTCGATAGTGGAACTCTGCACTAGGATTCACCGGAATATTCGTCAAAAGTGATGTTAAGGCGTGTATACGTCGATATATATCTCTCGATGCTGATATCGCGAAAGCGACGTCACAGTGCCACCGCCTCGGGATCACCATCTTCCATGCGACGAAAGTAGAAATTGCGTTCGGCGAAGAGCCCCCGCGACTCGATTTCGCAGGGATCACGACCCTTATCGCGGGCCTTCTTGCTCTCGTCTTGTCCCGGCTTGAAAAGGGCGTCTATGCGCGCATAAACGTCGAGCAGATGCTTAAGTAGCTCGCGGGCCAGCTCTTCCTCGGACCCGAAACGCCGCCAACCAACAGCCAGGAGTCCAAACTGCTTGCCCCAATCTCCAAGGTAGTTGAGCTTGATCGCATCTCAGCCCACGCTCTCGTAGAGATTGGAGATGAAGGCGCCGATGATGGTACTGCGCAGGTGTCCGGTGTGAAACTCCTTGACGATGTTGGGCGACGAGAACTCGACGATGACCCGTCTGCGGCTGGGGTGGCCTGCCGATGGATCACCGAGGCCGACATACGGATTTTTGCCGTACGAATTTTGTCGTTGGAAGACGTAGAGAAGAATTAGCCGTCCGAGAGAATGCGAAGTGAAGAAGATGGGTAGATGGATCCCAGCGGCGTTTGACATTCGGAAGAGTCGGTGGTTAGCCGGAAAATCTGCAGCGAAGTTAGCACATTGCTCGACCAGCTTCTTCTCCTTTAGACGCAAGCGCGGCACCGGTATCGTCAGACCATCATTAGCTAGCGTGTTGGAGGTCTGGATGGCTTCTTAGGCGAGAGCGGGCTCGCATCCGGCGAGCCTGGCTCGGATGTCGGCGAGGTAGACACGGTAGATATCGACCGGTCTGCTGAGGACGCAAGCATCTGGCAGGCCTTGGACGGTGGGGACGGGGTTCGCTCCAAACCCTTGGAGCAGGGCGCCGAGACGGTCCCGTGTAAGAGACTAAGAGTCGACATCTCGCTGCAAGTATCTAATATCTATGTGCATAGAAATTGCGCTGCCCCCTCGACTTCTCCGAATCGCTGGCCGAGAGTCTGCAGTTCTTTAGGCATCAATTTCAAGATTTTCGGCCTTTGCTCCCTCGGCGGGCTTTGAGCTTTGAGTCATCAGCCATTTCGCTGTCTCTTTTCCTCTGGTTTACATGCCTTGAGGAACCAAGTGATGCGCGAAGGGCGCCACAGGGAGTGGTCCCAGCGCCCAGAGCACAAGCCACAGCGCCACAAGCGCCGCTGCACCCGCGCGCCAGGTACATACATGTCTAATGTCCAGCGCCTACGGCGGCCCTTCTCAATAGAATCATCATCCTTCTTAAATTCGTCGCCCCGAAAGCAGCGCCCGGGACTCACTGGAAATCGAGCGGGAAGCGATCGTTCTGCCCCGCCCCTGACAAACCCTACGCCATGGGTAACGATGGTGGCTCCATCCCCAAGCGGCGCGAGCTCGTCAAGAATGCCTCGCGCGCTCCGACAGTCTCCGAACTCAAGGCAACGGCTCTCGAGTCCCTCAGCCATGCCTGGGCGCACTGCGCACTCAGCGGCGAGCCTCTCGACTTGAACGCCGCCGTGTCGGATGGACGTGGCCGGCTCTACAACTACGAAGCAATACTCAACAGTCTCATGCCTACCGACGCGCCGGCAGAGACGACCCCGGCGTCAATGGGAATCACATCACTGCGCGACGTGGTCAGGCTCAAGTTTTCAAGAAGCGGCGATGCGTGGGCATGCCCAATCTCCATGAAGAAATTGGGCCCGGCTACCAAAGTGGTTTACCTGGTCCCCTGTGGCCACGTCTTTGCCGAGGTGGCCCTTACTGAAATCCAGGAGAAGAGTTGTCCGGAATGCGAGACGGCGTTCGATGCTGAAAACGTCATCGTCGTGCTTCCGACGACGGAAAAAGACATGCAGCGGATGGCGAATAGGTTGGATGGGCTGCGAGCCAAGGGCCTCACCCACGCTCTAAAAAAGGACAAGTCGGAGAAGAAGAAGAAGAAGCGGAAAAACGACGATTCAAACGCGGCCGGAAGCGAGGCGAATGCCGACGAAATAGCACTTGGAGACGGCAACAAGCGATCGCGGCAGGGCGGTGACTCGAGAGTCAGTGGCATCAACAATCCCTTGGCCGCGTCCTTGACGGCAAAAGTCCTGGCCGAGCAGGACGAGAGGAACAAACGGCGACGGCTAGCTGCGGGAGCCGGCCCCAGGGCTCACGAGACGGCCAAGGGTTGAAGAGGGTATTATGGATCAGATGTCTTGTTTGTGATACCCCTTACGAAGTACTGGTTGTTGGTTCCGGCGTCGCTCAGCATCTGGGATTGGCGAGCATGTCAGAAATGTTCTCTCGTCAGATTCGAAGCCATTGCATGAGACTGCCTCTCACGCCGACGGGGGGCTTGCCTCGGGTGCTTCTGATGGCGAGTTGATGAGAAGTCATGCCGAGGGGATTTCTTTGAAGCCTGCGCTTGGTCCACCTTGTATGGGAAATGCGTGTTTTGTTTTGTTTTTTGTTATCCCTGGCGCGATTAAGCGACGCGGCGGGAGTCCATGCCGGCCACGACCATGCAGGATGAGGACGCCGGCAGGAAGCATAGAGGAGTGGAGCTCACCTGTTATTCCCCATTCTGGACGAGATCGGATGAGATGCTTTTTCCTCTCCGTCTATCCTGGGGGAGGACGGATGTTGATATAGTTGGCGTCGGGTTGCATGGACGCACGACTCCACAGGCTCAACAAGCAGATCCCCGTCAGTGCCCGATGCCTTGAAACATGGCCATGCACCGTGTGACTGGCGTGGAGGCAGGCGTCTGTACTTTACAAGCAATATGCACGAAACATGCACACGTGGAAGAAGCGTTCAACATATCCGCTGGACGGGCTGCTGGAGCCTCAAGCCGCGTCTATCTCACCCCCACGACCTCCACGACGGAGGTGCAACCGCAAGGCATCGCTCAAACGGTGCGTCATGCTCCAAATCTCCATGCGTCATCCCCCAAACCTCCACAAGGCTGGGCCCGTCGAAACGCAGCGCATGGCACCGGGAAATTTGGACCCCGTCAGCCATGATGCTGCTCATGCAACAGCGGCCATCGCCAGCGAATCAGCGCATGGGGAGCAGGGGTCCGACTGCGTAAAGCCATCGACTCCAAGCCCCTGCTGCAGGCCTAGAACTGGCAGATGAGGCTCGTAACGTATGTCCTTGGAGGCTGAAGCGCGTGCGGTATCAATACGTGAGCAGCCTCACACCCTCTCGGCGACTATACTTGTCCCAAGACTCGCCCCTTTCGCCGCTTACTCCTGGACTTGGATTGCCGTCTTCTAATTCCCAATTGCACGTCCCCTCTGCGCTCCTGTACGATTGGACACAGCTCCGACTTTGCCAGCCTCAATGACAGACCATCTCTACGGCCAAGGCCCCCGCGGGACCGATCCCCCTCGCGCTGCCTTCCATCTTCGCCAGCAGTCTCGACAGAGCAGCCAGAAGGGCGACCAGAAGGGCGACAAGCTCCTCCCCGCCATCGAGGTCGACGGCAACCAGTCCCGAAGGCGTTTCCCCGAGAGCCTTCATTTCAACCCGGGCAGCTTCCGCCTGCGCTCCCGCACCGAGTCGACCCGGAGCAGCATATCCTCGGCCCATATCCCCGACTCGGCCACCACGTACTCGGTTTCGACGCTTGCCAGCCCTCTGAGCTCGAGTTATGCCAGTGACATCCAGGAGCGCTTCGCCGCCTACTCCATTGACGGGCCAAGCGCATGCAGCCGGATTCGCCATCGACATCAGCCCTCTAATGCGACAACGTGCTCGACCTTCATCAACGACGACAATGAAGCGCCGCTCGATTCGGCCTTGCCAGACTTCGCTTCCAAGATCAGGGACCTGCTCGATGACGGTCCCCAGCCCGACGAGATGAGCGAAACGCCGCCTGTCAAGTAAGCCCCCGACGCTCGTCCGTCACGACCGTTTCGTCGGCTAACCCTCGCCACCGTAGTAGTCCATCGCAGGAATCCTTCATCAAGAAGGAGGAGCCCCTGTCACCAGACGAGCCCTTGGAGTGGTCGTACAGCCAGCGCCAGCGCCAGCGCGACTCCGTCTTGACGGTGACCAGGTCTGACACGACCTCCGTGGCGTCAGATGACATCTCTCAGGACGATGCCGATACCGTCTTGGACTACACCCTTCAACTGGCCTACGGCATCGAATTGGAAGACACGCCAACGCCGACCGACGTGCTACGCCCATTGGTCCACAAGTTTATCAGTGATCTTGGGCAGCACATCTGGCAGGCGCCTTCGGAAGCCCACACCACACAGACTATGTTGTCTTCCAGCTCGTCAACCCCTTTTCAGGGCGCCGGCGCCGGCGGCGACAGCTCTAAATTTTATGGCAAAAGGAAAGCGCAGGCGAGTGGTGACGACGGCGGCGATGAGTTTAGCGATGGCGAGGGCTCGGGATTCGGTTCTGCTAAGCGGGCAAAGCCAAGCCCACGAGAAGAAGATACCCTTCGTCTGAGCTGCCCCTTTCGAAAGCGGAATCCCCATCGCTTCAACGTCCGTGACCACCACAGCTGTGCCATGACCTACTTTCCCAAGTTTGCCGAACTGAGGTGAGTTTTGTTGGGCACTAATCTGAAACCATCGCGTCTATCGTTCCTGGGGCTCACTCACTCGCAAATTCTCAGACAGCACATTGTGAAGCAGCACAAGCGAGACGACCCCTCGGCCTTTATCTGCGACAGATGCACGCGCGACTTTCGCACGCGAAAAGAGCTTCGAGATCACCAGCGGCAGCCTAAGGAGCACATGTGCGATATCTCTGACCACGACCCTGAGGCGGGCATCGACGGCCCAACCGCCGTCAAGCTCGTCAGCCGCAAGCGGGCCAGCGGCACGTCGGCCGACGTTCAATGGAGGGAGATTTGGAATATTCTCTTCCCGGATGACGAGGACCAGATGATCCAACCATACTGTAAGTCGCTTGCTGTAGATGCTCTCTCGTCACGGCACTGATTGGTTCCGTAGGCTATACTCCCGTCATCGAGCATTTTGAACTCTCTGCACAGTATCTCGCTGCCTTTGAGTTCCTCCAGTCGTCGCTTCGCAGCAAAATGTCCAACCCTACGACCCTGGAGACGTTGGCAACCAAGTTCCACCAGTGCTTCATCGAGACCATCGAGAGTTGCGCAACCGTCGCCCGCACCATGCCGTATACCAACCGCAGCAACAAGAAGAACGAGCCGGCCCGGGTGCGGAGCACTCATGGCCCAAACCCACGGAAACCGAGGGTGATGGCGTCCAGGCCGGACTCTGGCGTCGTGCTGGACGACGGCTCCGAGGAGAGCGGCAGCGTATTGGGCTTATCCGCGCTTGGCCACAGGGACAGCGTCAGGACGGTCAAGGGTCTCGCCCCGAGGCCGGGGAGTTATCTTGCTTCTTGTTCCGCGGGACCTGGAGCGGCCATGCCTGCTCCAGCTGCGCCGCCCATGATCGACGGGCCCCTTGTCGGACCGTTCTCGTCTCTTCCGCTCAGCGTCACCACAGGCGGAGTCGACTCGGGAGCCGCCGTTCGGGCATGGAACAACAGTGTCACCTACGATCAGGAGCATGTTGGACTCAGTATGCCGCCGGACCAGTGGATTTCAGCAGGAGGCTTGACGCCGCATGCCGAGTTTGCAGCCATGGATGAATCGTTGCTCTATCAGACCGATTTCAGCATCATGGGCGATAGCTTCCCAAGTTTTCATGATCGATAGGAGCCGAAAATGACCAACTGTCTCTAGCCTTGACACTTGACCCAACCAGCCTCATGGCCTTTCCTCGAGACAACATTGAAACGCTGAAGATTGTCGCGAGATCGCTCCAATCGCCCCAGGCTCATCAAAAAAAGAGGTTCCGCTTGAAGTAGGGTTGCAAGTCCGAGGTTTCTCAGAGATAATTTGAAATGAATACAACACACTCGTCAGCAGCCCCTACCAGTACGGAATTTAGCAAATTTTCGTGCTGTGTCGATTACCGTATCAAAGGTGTCGCTATTGAGTGAGTCGCCCCCTCTTGGCCTGAAGCAATTTAATACCTAATCCACGTCAGCTCTTGCGATGCTTCACTGATGCCGTTCAGAAAGGGATGACAGTGAGTCGGCTCAGGCGGTGGATGAAGTGAGGCACTACCGCAGTCGCCTGGCCAGATGGCATGTGAAGGTAGGAGGCAAGTAACTTGTCGAGATGCGAATATTTCGGTGTCTCCATTGTTTACAGTCTTGGAAGGTTGATGCTTTGTCTCGTAGTACGATGAGCTTACCATCCTTCCACATCCGGCCCTCGAAAGCTGAGATTCTCCCGCGCTGGCTTCTGCAGCTTTCCGTTTACCACATTATACCTAGCCGTTACCCTGCTCCATGACTCGTTCCCGGCGGCCATGTCCTCCAAAAAGTCAATGTAACGGAGGCCTTGAGGGGACATGGACTGCCCACAAGCTTTCTGTCCAGCTATAAGGCGAAAGTGTACCTCTTCGACCTCGTGTATCAAATTTGTGACCTGAGCGCGAGCAGTCCCCAAGTCGACGTTTTGCTCTTGCATAATGATAGTTACCGCGTTGACAATATTGCCGCCAATTTTGTTCCGGTGGTAGCGAGAAGTGAGCAATTCCTTGTCTAAGCTATAGAGGTCGTTGACAAAAGCAACATGAGCCGCGATGTTTTTTTCTAACTCTCTCAGCCAGGCGCACTCATCAAGGGGGAGCGCAATATCTAATGCCCACTTTGCCAATGACCAACAAAGCCTACATCGTATTAATTAAGATCCAGCGCACTACAAACAGAGCGATGCTCACTGTAATCCAAGATCTATCTCTCTAAACGATAGGTAAGACTTTAAAGTTGTTTGTTGACTTCTAGCGGGATCGACTTGAGACTTCCAAAACAGAGTGAGATGGTCTGTTACGTCTTTCGCCTTGCCTGAATCTAACTGCTCGATTTCGGTAATCACGTTAAGCAGTATCTTTGACCAGGTATAGTCGGTGAGATGAACCCTCTCCTTCAAAACACGCGTTTCGAGGAGGCCATTAAGCTTTTCTCCCTAATGGTATCGTCAATAATGAAAATGGGGCCCAGGACAAGAAATTAGCGCTACCTCGTCATGATCCATTTTGTCAAGGACGTCTGGATAGTTAGTATGCAAAATGAGATATGCTAATCTTATAACGTACCATCAAGTAAAAACAAAAGAGTAATAAGCCTAATACAAGGTATGACTCGAGAGTTGCGAGCCTCGGGAAATGTCAATACTGACCAGCGAGGCAGATCCATGTCGAGGAAAAGCTGACGCTCTGTCTGCGAACTAAAAGGCCATATTTCCGCGAAGAAGGCATTGTCAATCTGGCATACCGCGTCACCGAGGGCGTGGATTCGAGGAGTGAATAAACTCGTCCAGGGTAGCAGATGCGTTACTTGAGTTGACATTCGATACCCCGAATGAGAAGACGTTTCCTCGGTGAATGACGACGGCGTGTCGGGCAAAGTGTTTTCCATTGAAGTCGAATTGCTTTTGTAGGCAAGCCAACGAAACAGGAGTCACAACCGGACCCTGCGGTCTGAGAATCATGATTACCAGCAGTGTCCGGAAACTGACAGATAATTAAACAATAATGAAATGATACTGTGACTGTCCTCGAGGCGGTGTGCCTCATGGTTGCATGTTACGCATACCAAAGCGGGGCTGCGAGGCAAGCGTTGTTTCCACATTTTATCGGGTATAATAAAGAGGAGAAAGGATATCCAAAAGCTGGGAGAGGAGCTGAAATGGACCGATACAGGTAAGTCTCACGCAAGCGTGTCAGTCTTGGGCGTGGTGGCGGCGGCAGCTTCGTTAGCAGCCGGCTCGGCGTCAGTCTGACTGGTTGGCTGTTGCGTCTTGTAGCAGGCGCCGGCGCCGGTAGCTTACTTGGCTCGCCTAGCTTGGATTCATGTCTGAGGCATTATGTTGGCTTCTGATCGATTGCTCCATGCCTCTTTAGCAAGGGAATCCTTACATGCGATTTACTAAGGACGGAGGAGCTTCTCAAGCGCGGTAACAAAGACAAGTACGAAGCACGGGAAGATGCCGCCTATTCGTTAGCAGGGTGGGCCGTGTGACTGCGGCTAGTCCGAATACTTTTAGAATGAACCTTCGTATATGTAGGAAAGCTCAGAGCTGGTCGTCAGCTCCGTATAGCCGCCTTTACAACCATGGTTCTGGCTGCGCAGGTATTTCCAGTGTGACAGACCGTTGAGTTGAGACAGATGCCTGACAATGCGAATTTGGCATTAATTGGGAGAATATCTGGCACAGTGACAAAGATTCGTGGTCGCTAAAAGGAGGCCTCGTCACAAGAGGGTCGTAGCCTCGTAGGCACGAAGATCGAAGAGTCATGGAGTTACCGATATGACGCGAACTTGGAGCATAGCGTAGTCGTTATTGGCTCTGCAGGATCTGTCACGGGAAGAAGAACTATGCGACAGCGTTATACGCTTCATCAGGGACGTCTCGCGCCGCGAGGCACCTGGCCATCTGCTTCGTCAGCACCGAATCGCGGGATTCGGCGAGAGTGGCCTCGGATTGAAGACTCCGTTTACCTTGGCGGCTACATCCGCGACCTCATCCGGCTACAGTTAGTAGTGTAGCGGTGCCTAACAAGCTTAGCAAATAAAAGAAAATAAGTGTTTCTAGTAATTAAAGAGCTAATATTAAGAGATAAATTTTATTCACAATTTCTAATTTTCTAAGCTAGCTGGTATCGCTTTGTAAATATGGTATGCGTTTTAACCCTTGTTTCCTATCGACCAAAACTTTTGTCAAGTCACTGTAGCATTCCCATCACGATATCAATATACCATACAGGAGAGGCAACCCGCGACCGGGTTGCGCGAAGAGCCTTGAGGAACGAAGGTTTGAACAAGCGAAATGGATGAGCCATCAATTGGGTTAATCATCGCGATCTCTATGGCGTCAGCTTCAATGGCGAGCATCTCACGGCTTCCAGCGCGATCTTTTGCCTCCGACATCACCAAGTCCACTGCTTCTCGCACAATCTCTGCGTCGTAGTCTTGAGGCCAATTGATCCTAGTATCACGAACTCAGCCGTGATAGAAATACCGAAAAGTCTGATATTGCTGACAGAGCCACTTTTGTTGTCGAAATGGGCTTGTCAGTCTTCTTTATACCAGCCAAAGCTGTCGGACGGCGGGGCAGGCTTCGTCTTCATGATGCTATTCCCGACCGTGCGTTTGACGTCACGAAAACGTCGCCGTGGGAAAGATGTCTTACCGGGGGCCTCCTTTTTCTGGATCCGGCATTCCTCATCTTCCTGAGCGACTTGTTTGTTATGCGTCTCGCGCGGCTCGATTTTAAACCAATCGGCCGGGACTTTTGTCCCCCCACGGTCTCTAATGAGTGGTGGAGGTCGTGCATGGCTGGGCTCTCTCACCGCCTTTCATAGCAGAGGGAGGGAAGAGGGTAAGTTAGAGCAAGCACCAAGACAGGGAAGAAAGGACAGGCCATTCAAAAAGGGAACAACGACAGGGCGGTCAGGACCGATTTAGACGCTGCTGAAGTACAGTATAGTCAAGAGATCCACAACAAGAAGAAGGGCCAGATGCGAAACGATGAGAAGGAGCTTGAGAAACTACTAACAAAGTTATTCAACTCTGAGCACAGGGGCCAACGGGACAATCACGAGGACTTCACCCTCTTACGCTTTTCTCCGGCCCGTCATCTCCCGCGTCCCAGTAATGCTCCCCCCCATGCTTGAATCTCCTGCCAACAATGAATGGCATCTGCTCCCCTACATATGGACTGGTATATCAATCATCCTATGCTACTTGATTAGCATATGCTTCTACAACTTATACCTGCACCCGTTAAGCCATTTCCCGGGCCCCAAGCTGGCAGCCATGGGTTGGCTGTATGAGTTCTGGTTCGAGCTGATCAAGGATGGACAATATCTTTGGGAAATTGAGAAAATGCATGACAAGTACGGTACGGTACGAATCCACCAGCCCCTGAGCATCTACGAGCTGAGGGCTCATACCGCTTCAAATCTAAAGGCCCAATCGTTCGCGTCAATGCGAGAGAGCTACATATACGCGATTCACAATTTTACAGCACCATCTACACTGCAGGTGGTCGAAAAGTTGACAAGGATGCTGCAACTGTCAGGGCCTTTGGAGTTCCGTCGTCCGTCATTGCAACCGTTGATCACAATCATCACCGGGCACGCCTCGGCTACATCAGCGCCTATTTCTCTAGGCGCTCAGTCATTAGTATGGAGACAATGATGCACGAGCGTATTGGCAAGCTATGCCATCGTCTTCAAACTTGCATCAAAACCGGAGAGGTGGTTACCCTTGACTCGGCCTTTTCTGCCCTGACGGCCGATATTATCACCCAACGTTTCTATGGCGAGCACCTTAACTACCTCAATATCCCGGACTATAAGATGGCGGTGACTGAGGCTGCCCTCGGTGTGACGCTCGCCTTTCATCTTGGCCGACTTATTCCCGGCCTGGTGTCTGCCCTCAAGAAGATGCCGATATGGCTCCTGCAGATAATCTTCCCACCTGTTGCAGACCTGCTAGTTTTGCAGCAGTCGCTCAAGCATAATATCCTTTCCTCCTTAGATGATGACGCGCGCAAGAAAGATTCCAAGTCGATCATTATACAGGCGCTCAACGATCCCAACATTCCCCTTCCAGAGAGAGAGATTGATCGTTTGATAGATGAGAGCACCGCTTTTATCCTCGCCGGGACCGAAACAACGTCGAGAGCGCTTAGTGTCGGAATGCTACACCTCCTAACCGATAAGACTCATCTAAAGAAGCTGCGTGTGGAACTGAGTGCCTTGGCATCCAAGCCAGACAACGACTACTCCATGTCACAACTCGAAGCCCTTCCGTACCTGGTAAGCCTGATTCCAGATATTTCATACAAGAGACTAGAATAGTGCCGACTTTGACTATAGACGGGCGTTGTCCACGAGAGTATGCGCCTGGCCTTCGGTCCTGTGAGCCGTCTCCCACGAGTGGCTACCCATGAATCGCTGCATTACGGCGGCTTTACGATTCCACCGGGAGTAAGCAAATCTTTATGCAAAATGGGTTCCAATGGATCGTTCAATGTTTCCAACACCAAATAGACGCCCGTCAGCCAGTCAACATATTTTGTACATACTGATCCCACAATTTACCCCCACCCCCATTGCTTCGATCCCGATCGATGGACAAGAGCAGCACAAGACAGGTTCCCGCTAAATAAGTTTCTTGTCAACTTTACCAAAGGCAGCAGGCAGTGCCTCGGTGTTCAGTAAGTAACAGCCCCTAGTTCTTTCTTTAAAGTGTAGAAATAGCTGCGTAGCAGCAGTGTCGCCAACGTTATACGTCCCTAGGATGGCATTCACAGAACTTTACATAACAATCGCAAGACTTGTCGGCAACTTTGACATGGATCTTCACGAGACGACAATAGAGGATGTAAAGCTTCATCGAGCCCACCTTTTCGGCTACCCGAAGAAGGCTGCAAATACTGCAAATGTGCGAGGCGAAATTATGGTCAAGGTGACGGGAAGAGCCAACGAGGGACGCATTGGAGCAGTTCTCAAGGCCGAGACCTAACAAGCAGGCGGCCTCGGGGCGGGTGTTTGTACGCAAACGATGTCCACAATTTGACAAGGCAGTTGGGAATAAACTTTCCTATTTATCGCCGAATGAAAAACCCGACTCTTTTCAATCCAACTGTAGGTGGGTGCTTATTATTCCAGGTCGACCGCGCCTGCAAAATGCAATTGGCAGTGTCCCGGACAAACTCCCTGCGCACAGCTAGGTTGACACTAGGCCTACTACTTCAGTACGTCGACTGCAGTATCGCGTCGGAAGAAGCGTTATACGATAATGTTCTGCCAGAAACGAATGAAAAATGGGCCAGACAAGTTAGGGACGCGCTTGCTGTACTGCACAAGGCAGGCGCACTTTGGGGAGATGCCAAAGCGTCGAGCGTCCTGATTAATAGAAGACACATGGGTCACTGATTTCGAAGGCGGATATATCGAGGAATGGTTTGAACAAGACAAAGCTGGGACAGTGGATGGCGATCTACAAGGGCTGGACAATATCTTGATGCAAGTGTTTTCGGGAAGTCGAACACACCAGATAGTGGAATGAATTTTCACCCCTGTCTGTACTAGGGCAGCAGGAAGAGAACGAGATGGAGCAGACACGGTGCTGGGAAATGGCAGATGTACACTTTGTCACTATGTTGGCAATGATCGGCATGGCCAGAAGGGATATCGAATGATGGCGGTGGCTGGAGATGAGAGTTGTTAGCAACCAGCGACATCTTGCATCATGGTGTCCTCTCCCGGACGAGTAACCTCACGAACTCGAGGAGGTTCTATTCGCAAACTGGTCAGGGAACCTATGGAGCTTGTAGTGAGTCGTGTGTACTCAATTACATGCAACGTGTAGTTGGATGTGTCCAAAATCCCTTGGAGTGATTATGTTCTTCATTTGGTTGCTAATTTTCTCCTCGATCGAGTCTTGGACGGTGCCGTTGCTCTCCAATACGCAATTAACCACGGTTACAGACATCTATGCCCCTTCGCCTTTCAACGGGTCGAGTCTCTGAACACCAAACGAGCCAGCATATTTGACATGAGACTTGGCCAGTGTCTACGGACATCGTGAGCTCACACAAATGTAGCTACGCATGAACCAAAGAGCTGAGAATATCACGATCAGGTCGCGTGGCTAGCAGTCCACCAAGGCAATTACACATCAAATTGACTTGCCAGCCTCTCGCCAAACGACTAGAGCAGTGCCATTGCCATTTCTACCGCCTCCTCTGCCAACCCCCAACTAATCTCATACCCACGCGCCCCCGCGCCATACGCATGAATGACCCAGCCCGTCCTACCCCCCCGTCCTGTGTCCAGGTTAGCAACGCTTCTACCCTCGGCTTCCAGGCGCACGCCGCCCTCACGCGTGGGCCTGCGGCCTACGACGTCGGATATAACCATGACGCTATCCGTCCCTTTCGCCTCGTCTTGCAAAGCCATCGGCTGCGCATACGGCTCGAGGGCGAGCCCAGCGGCTAGCACACGGGTCCGCGTCGACAGGTCCGGCTCGGAGCGCCAGTCTTGGGGCTCTCTTGTTCCGCCTACGATGGTACCACCGTTGAAGAACCGGGGGATGAGAAATGACCACGACCCATCACTGTGCCGTCTGGTCACCGTCCTGGCCACCGACAAGTTCGTCAACACTGTTTGCCCTGAAAGGTCGAGAAACGCTTCGTCAGTACCAGACGACTATGGGCACGTGGAAAAGTTACTAAAGGGGATGCAAACCTCTCGTCGGAAAGCATTTGGGATCTCCGAACCCAACACCGCTCGCATCCACAACCAGCAGCGCTCTTTCGAGTAAAGTATAGGCCTCCAATTCGCTCTTCAACTCCTTGCGCATCGTCTTTCCCCCATCAAGTACAAACTTCCGCAGCAGGTGCTCGCAGTACATTGGGGCGTTGATGCAAAAGGTTTCGTACTCCAAGCCCATTTGCACTCCGCTTGGAAGCTCAGACGGCGGGAGGGTCCGCCAACCACGCAAGCCGGACTCCTGCTGCAAGCCAGACATGCCTCGTATCCCGTAGTACTCATCCGGCTCGTCGAGAAACTCGACCCCCGTGGTCCGCGTGATGCCGCACCACGGCTCAGCGTCCGCCTGCCGGTCGAACTCGGCCACGGTCTGCTTGAGCCACCCGGCCTCGCGTCGCAGCTGATCCGATACGGCGGGAATGGGTCGCACGTGCGCCCCCGCCCACATGGAGGCATAGTCGACCGAGTGAGTCGAGGCTGCGCCGGCGACCGAGTCCGGCCATTCCCGCGCCACGACCATAACCTCGGTGCCGCGCAGGTCGGGGTGCTCGGCTAGCGCAGCCTGAAGCTTGATTGCGCAAGTCAGGCCGATGATGCCCGCCCTGGTCAGGCCATGCATGAGCAACTGCAGAGGGACGGTGGTGCAATGAGCTCACCCAATGACAATCACCGTCGGCGGCGAGACACCCGTGGCGGCCGGCGCCGTGGTGTCTTGGCCCTGGATCTGCGACATGTCTGACGCTGAACCTCGCTGAAGCTTGCAACTTTGGTCACGGAGATGGTTCCTTCGGTCTATCGACGAATACATTAATGATGGACCGATTCGATAAAACACGGGTGTCGATGGCCCTTTGCTCCGAAGTCGGGCCAGCACCCGAGAGCCCCACCTGGACTGCCGAGTCCGTGGTGGGCTGACGCCTCCGAATCTCCGATCTTGCACCGCTCCGCCATCCGACCTTTGCATCGGCTTTAGTCTTGCAAACATGCTGCTTCTCATTCACGAAGCGACTTTAAAGCACTGGCGGCAGTTGTTCAAAGCATCGGATCCAGATCAAATTCGGGCAGAGAATAAACAGCTGCTCCAGCAGTGGGCATGATGTACAGTGCCACAGTCTCATGGCCAGTTACCGTACATGTCTGTTCCAGGCATTATGGAGCCGGAAAAAATTATGCAAACTGTGAAGAAAACGCTGCATTGGTATCCAGATAACAACAACATGACATTCGTTGAACCATCAAGTCTTCCACTGGAAAGCGGGATGCTTCCAGTCGAGGTCTTCAATCTGTTGCGGCGTCAGCCCGCTGAGTTCTGCCTCCACGTCGCGCCCTCGGCGCCTCGCATTGTCCCTCTTCATCCACAAAAGCGTCAAGATGCTGAGGACGAGGATGGATCCCGCCGTGGCCAAGTTGAGTCCGTTACCGATGCGGTAATCCGGGGCGTCCCAGGGGAGAAACGACCATCCACTAACCAATCCGCCAATGTTGCCCATCATGACGTTGGTGCCGATGGCGGCACTTCGGGCCGTGTCGCTGACCACGTTCGCAGACACATGGGCATTCGTGAGAGGGCCCAGGGCAAAGACCGACGACGCGATGAGAAAGGTGGCCCCGTACCGGACCGAGCTGTCGTGCGAGCCGAGGAACATGCAATAGCCAATCATGACCATGGGCGCAGAGAGGATGACGAAGATTTGGCGCCTATCCATGCGCCAGCTGATGAGAGGCAACAAGACGGTGAAGAAGGCGCCAACCGCGTACGGAGGCACCGTGTAGAGCTGCTGCTGGACGGGCGTTGTGTGGCTGTAAATGGTCTTGACAATGGTCGGGGCAAAGAAGGCGAGGCCCTGGACCGTGACGTTGTTGAGGAGAAAGACGAGCGAGGTGCTGAGCGTGACTGGACAGAGCATGCCGCGGAGAAGCTTGGGTCTGTCCAGTCTGTCCAAGACGGCGGTAGCGCCGATGCGCTCCGACTTGATACGAGCGATGGCCAGGTCCTTTTCTTGAGGCGTCAGCCAGCGCGCGGTTCCAGGCCGGTCGGTGAGGACCAGGAAAGCCAAAAGGCCGAGGCCAATGGTGATGATGCCTTCGATGGCAAAGATCATGCGCCAGCTTCGAAGGCTGCCAAAGTGGTCGAGGCTGAGGATGGCCGAGGCAAGGAGACCGCCGAATGCGCCGGCCAGGGGCGCCATGACGATGTAGAGGGAGAGCCTGAAAGCCAGCTCGGCCCTGCGATACCAGCGAGACAGGTAATAGGCTATGCCGGGCATCATTCCGGCCTCGAAGACGCCCAGGAGAAAGCGCACGCCCATGGTTTGGGGGATCGTGGTGACAAAGGCGGTGCCGAGGGAGGCGACGCCGAATAGGAGCGCCGAGAGCGGGAGGAACCAGCCGGGGCCCATCCATTTGCATAGGATATTGCTGGGGATCTCGAAGAGGATATATGAGACGTAAAAGACGGAGATTATGCTGTTGAAGTCGTAATTCTTCATGCCGAGGTCCTTGTCGAGGCCAGCGATTTTGGCATTACCTGGAGGTGTCAGCAATTGATGTCTCCAGGCTCGGCGGTCCTGGATGCGAGTGCCGAGACCAGGCCCAACGCCATGCTCCCAAGAGCAAAGTCAGGACGGCGCGCTTACCGAGATTAGCTCGATCGATGAAACAGAACAGGTATAGCAGAGACACGGGGGGCACGATGCAGAGATCGATCTTGAGGCGAAGCCGCCTTTCGGCCACGGGATCGAACTGGACGAGGGACTGGCCGTATCTGCAAGGGCAAGCCGTCAGCCTGAGAGGCGGCAAAAGTAGTGTGCTGCGCCGGATCGTTACTTGTCAGTGGCCGGCTCGCCGGACTCGGCGGCCGCATGGAGGAAGGCAGAGTGGCTGAGGACGTCTATGCTGTCGGGACTGCGGACACGCGGCGGCAGTTCTCCCTCCAAGGGCTGCTGCCCCCCCCTCTTGGACATGGCTGCGGCCGAGAGTGGCGGCGGTGACGACGGGTGCTTTCCAGCGCTTGGCGGCACCGAGGAGCGGGCGGTGGCAGGCATCAGGAGCGGCCGAGGAGCAGGTGGGATGTTTGGCGTCGAAGAGTCGCAGCAGCATCACCTCGGGTGAGGGCCTGATGCTGCAGGCTGGTTTTCTCTTGGGGAATTCGACGAATGGACGACGACCGAGGCCGGACTCGACGGCGACGCTCGGGAGGGGCACCCAAGCAAGACTTTACCTAAAGCTCAGACGGCGAGCCTTGGGACGAACAGACAACAGGGGCAGTGGAGGGCGCCCAAGGGTCCAGAAAAGTTGCTCGACGGCTGGGCGCAGAGGCACGGGATTCGGATTCGGGGACAAGGGCTGAAGGACTGCGGCCGACGGAGATTTTTCTCAGCGCCTCCAAATACACCGACCGCACCTTCCTTCCACCTTCCTTCCACCTTCCTTCCACCCTCCTGTACATGTGCAGCCTGGGCCTGCGAGCCACCGATTAATGCATTTTGAAAGGGGGTCTCAGATAAGGTTTTTTTTCCTATATTTAGTGCTGCAGAGTGCTGCAGAGTGCCTGCAGAGGTCGAGGCGGGGAAAGCCGGCGGCATCTGTCTGCGCAGCGACGCGCTCAGACTCTTCACTCTTCTCTCATCTAAGCAAGTAACTGAGGCCGTTATCCTCGATGGGGCCAAGGCGCGAGCTATACGAACACAAAGGGCCGAGACCCAAAGCTTATCCTCGTGCCTGATGCGCTACCGGACAATGCACAGGCGTTGAGGGGCTCGCCAAGTTAAGGTTCAACAGCGTCTGTTGTCGCCGCAATCCCAGACCATTCGCAGGGCCCGGGATTGGTGCTTGGCTTGGCAACGCCCAGCGGCTCTAGAAAGCCGTTCTGGTTCCTGGCTACGACCGTTGCATGCCTCATGTACAACAGACGCGAGCGCGTGGGGAGGCTGCAAGCTGCAAGATTTGCATGCATCGGGTCTGAAATCGCTGAAGAAGAGGCCTTGGCCTTGGCCTTGGAACCTTATACACGCGGCGTGCAGTCCGATTGGCTTGAGGCCGATAGTCTTGGACTCACGGCCAACCGGTATGCTGCAGAGAGCATCTGTCCGCCGGATGCCATGGCGCCTCCGTCGTGAATCGCCTTTGGCTGCATCTTACCATCATCGAACGTCTCCGTTGACAGAGATTTGGACAATGACGCGCTTGCACTACAGCATTGGTCGTCGCTGCTTAATTTGGCATTACACTGCACCCATGCCATGAAAAGCGAATGGCCGGGAAAAATTACTTCCTGCGCCACACGAATGCGCACAATGGGAGAGTCGAACCGCATGGAATGACGTATTATTGCCTTTCCTGCAATTGAGCGTCGAGGGACATTTGCTTAGCCGCTGCTTGGAAATACCGAGCTTCTGATTGGCCATCTCCACCCTCGATGACCGACGTCCCGCCAATCACAACAGACACAGTTCCTCAGCAGACCACTCGGCAGCCGCCTTGCCATCTCAATCTGCAAGTATAAAGAATCATGCCGACGCCGTCTTCAATGTCTTGACGCAATATCTTACTTCAATCTTATACTCCTCAGACCGCCCAAGCAAGCTGGAAACGTACAGGATCTACCACTTCTTCATCAGCCAATCACGCCCCTCCCATCATCATCATGGCCATTCTCAAGTCTTCCACCTGCTGCGGCAAGGGCAACACCGAATGCGCCTGTGGTAAGCTTCAGTTCCTCTGCTCTCCGATGCCAAATGCAATGGAGCGCTGACATCCAACGCTCCTCCAGCCAAGCAGGCTACCTGTTCCTGTGGCAAGCAGTCTGCTCTCCACTGCACCTGCGACAAGGCGACGAGCGAGAACACGGTCCAGGGACCTCGCTGCTCGTGCCGCGCCAGGCCCGCCGGCGAGTGCACGTGCGACAGGGCCGCCACTGAGAACACGAAGCCGACAGGCTCGACATGCCAGTGTGGCTCCCGTCCTGCAGGTGCGTTTGCCATAAACAGGTCCCTGTGTTGTGTGATTCCCCGACTGACATCGTGGTGGCTACACAGGAGGGTGTACTTGCGAAAAGGCCAGCGATGGCAAATTCAACCCGGCGAATGAGATTGATTTCACGAGCTCCAAGTGATGACGGCTTTTGATGATGGGCATTGACTATTGCATTGGATCTGGTTGCATCGGCGTCATGCATTGCGGCGTTGGGTTGGGTTTATAATCAGCACTTGGTTCGGTACGAAACATATGCATGCCATCACGAATTATCAAGCCTCGGGTTCACGAGGGGAGGGATAGTGCAGGCGACGGGGGGGGGCTCGTATCAAAACTCGAATGAACCTAGATATACATACACAACATGGACGGTTACACAAGGTGTCAAAGCAGTGGCATGTTGTCCAAAGAGGCCCCACGACCCATACTACGTAGACCGGTCGAGTTTTATTAAGTTTTATGATAATTAGGCATATCATTTATTTCGTTTCTCAAAGTATATACGCAAGTCGCCACTCTTACCGCAGAGATATATTTAGAAGAGCCCTTAAAATCATTTCCCGGTTCATGTAGAACCGAAAGGTCGATTGTCGTTTCTTTTCCACGACTCCGAAACGCATACAATGTCACGGTTCGCCGCGAAGTTCGCCATCTCCATTCAAATTCTGCTCAATGGCCCATTGCCAATTTGTTCGGGCCTCCGTCAATATATAATCCCCTGCAAAACTCTCTCGCGGTAGTCGAATAATTCCCGACTTATTGAAACCACAAGGCGGGTTCATTCCAAATGACCCTTTAATGGACGTGCTGCTCAATGAAAGGCTGCATAACCCGTTTACCGGTGGTAGCATACGGGTGGCAACAACATGTTCGCCACTCTAGCAGGCTCGGCATATGTCTCTACATCAACCAGGCGCGAAGCCGCAGAAAGTATCGTGGGGTGTTCGCCCGGATAAATCCATACATCACCAAACTTGACGACGTTCCGTAGACCCTTGCAGGAAAGAAATACTGCCCCGAAACTCCGAAGAGGAAATATGCTGCTGCAGGCATACGCTGGGGCCAGATACCCGGTTGAACATACCTCCCCCAAGGGGGATAAGACCTCTATTGGTGAGATAGCCTTTTTCAAGAATCAGGACTACGAATCGATATACGAAGCGTGTGCTTCGAGCGGTGCGCAGCCCCGGCTAGCCGCCATTGCTGAAACTCACGAAGCGTGGGCCAAGGAATCCTGGAGTGACTGTAACGCAGATCAAGGAGAAAAATCCTTTGAATACTATGCCATGGAGCTTCTCGCTGAAAAGGGGCAAGCTGTGAGCTGGCGTGGAAAGCCTCGCTTGTTTTACACTCCTCGAATGACCGAGATAGCCGCCGAGGAGCCAGTTGAAGCGGCGAGGGGCGCCGAAAAAGCACTGGAATCTGCTGTAAAAGTATCGGACCTCTTGCAATCGAAAATTGCGGCAAAGCTGGCCGACAAGGCCGCCAATTTAGCTCTTAATCGGGTCAGAAAAGTGGCCCAACCAGTCGAGGACCACAAGTTCCTCAGTCAAGATGTTTTTGACTGATGATCGTATTCAGCCTGCAAAGCCGAGAAGCGGCCGTTGGGTAACGTAGGTAGTGGACACCAAACTGATCGACGGCTACAATGAACAAAGTGAAGTCGATCAGGTTTGGGTGGAGACCACGATGAAGTGACAAGACCAAGGCCGATCAGCAGGCGGACAAGCCCATGAAAGTTTGCATCCAAGCACGAAAGCTTGCAGAGAAAGCCAAAGAAATAGAAGGGCAGAACTATGATGAGAGATCCAGTAGAAGAGACGCTCCGACGAGAGCAAAAGGCGCTTGAGGATACAAGCAGCTTCACTATTTCGCTCCCATCTAGAGAGAGAGCATCGGCAAAGCTTTGGAATGAGACTCGAGATCGCTGCATGGGAGATAGCCTGTTTACAAGATAAAGTTAATGTGTTCCAGAAAGAAAAAAAGGCCAACGAAGGTAGCCGCAAAGCAAAAGACGCACAGATTCGGCTCGATACAATGCAAATCACGAAGAACCCCTCCTCCGAGGTGCTGGCAGGCGAGCCGGACCATGCGAAAGGGGACTGCTCTCGAGAGCACAGCAGATACACGCGCAGCAGACGGCAGAGATACGAAAATTCTCGAGGTCGTTGAAGTTTTGGCCGAAATTGGTTTGGAGATTATTTCATGGATGCCCACCTCAGCTTCCCCTACCTTGCAAGTCGTCAAATGGGGTCGACTGGCGTGGAAGTTCGTGAAGTTGGCCGGAAAGGCCCGCAATGCAATCAAGCCGGCAAGGGTTGCCAAAATAACGTAACGGTTGGTTCTGAGGACTGTCAGTGTATACAACAAGCTTCGTAAGGAACTTGACAAAATTGAGTGGCACTTGTCGTCGCTCAAGACAGATATAGAACTTTCCACGGTAGGAGAGTGAAGCAACTTGACGACTTGATAAAGAGGCTCAACTGGATAGAGATTCCAGAAGGCTAACTAGGAGCCCGGGATAACAAGAAAACACTCGACGGTACGCTAGAAGAGTTCGCCTCGATCACAGTGCCGACGGATAACCCAGGCGCTGAGGTCAGTTTGATGTCCATCAAGAAGCCAACGCGAGAGTCCCGGCAGAGATGGCTGCGCGGGCTGAGAGCTCGATCAGAAAACCATTGGGAGAGATGATGGATAAGCTACAGACGCAACTGACAAGCCGACTCGCGAGAAGCTGCAAGATGAGCTTCTGGTCGGATTTGAAGCACACGTTAAGCTCCCAGACCGAGTCGGTGCTGGACAAGACTTTCAACGAGCTGGGTTTGACAAGGAAGCTGGCCTCAAACGTCAGCAATGTAAATCAGACTGCAAGATCGGAGGAGCGCGACCTCAGATCTTGAGGCATACGAGGCTAAGAAATAGAGACGAGAAGCTTAACGGGCGTGACAGTAGAAGCCGAGAGCTTCGCAACCGTTGCTGATTAATGCATCACTCCACCGCCCCACTACATCAGTCACTCTGCGGCGTCCAGCAGGCTGCTGGCAAATTACTGCCGGACAAACCCGAATTGGGCAAAGGCGGTCAGCAAAGCTCGTGCACGCCCAGGCATCCGCCCCAAGCTCGCCTTTTGTTGACCCTTTTTCGCGTCTGACAGCCTTCTGCTGCTTCCTGTCGCAAACCCTTTCCCCACCCCATCCACCATCACACCGTCGAGTCCCTCTGTCTATAGCCTCGAGCGAGCTACGAATCCCATCCAAGACTGTCCAAGCAACTTCTTTGGGCCTCAACACCTTCAGCAAAACAGTCAAGTCGTCTCTTTGCGATAGCTGCCGTTGACCTGTCGCCATAAAGGAACAGAACAGAAGCAGGATGCCTGCGAAAACCAAGGCCGCGGCCGCAAGGCCCTCCACGACCCGGCAAGCCTCTGGGACCGCTGCCGTCAAGTCGACGACAAAGCCCACAACCAAGGCTGCCAAGGCGACGGCAAAGTCTGTCAAGGCGACCGAAAAGCCCACCACCACCAAATCGCAGACGCGCACTGCCGCGTCCAAGAAGCGGAAGGCCGAGGAGGAAGCCTCTGCAGAGCCCGAGGTCAAGACCGACACGCGCAAAACAAAAAAGTCCAAGACGGAGGCGCCCGCTCCTGCCAAGCCCAGGGCCAAGAAGCGCGCTCATGTCGAGACTGGGAAAAAGATCAACGACGCGCCCACCCAAGTCCTAGACATTTACGTCTTCGGAGAGGGCAGCTCGGGCGAGCTGGGTCTCGGCAGCGGACGCATCAATGGCAAAAGACCCATCGACGTGAAACGCCCACGGCTCAACGACAAACTTTCCGCCAAGTCTGTCGGAGTTGTGCAGATTGCGTGCGGCGGCATGCACGCAGTGGCCTTGACGCGCGACCACAGAATCCTCACCTGGGGCGTCAACGACCAGGGAGCCCTAGGTAGAGACACTGCCTGGGAGGGAAATCTCCGCGATGCGGACAAAGATGAGGGATCCGACTCGGGGTCTGACGACGACGACTCGGGCATCAACCCGCTTGAGAGCACGCCGACGGCCCTGTCCGACGAGTACTTTGCGCACGGAACCAAGTTTGTCCAAGTCGTTGCCAGTGACAGTGCGAGTTTCGCCCTCACTGAGGACGGGCGAGTGTATGGCTGGGGCACTTTTCGCTCGAGCGACGGAGTCCTTGGGTTCACCGAGAAAATCAGGGTTCAGGAAACGCCAGTGCTCCTGCCGACACTCAAGAACATCAAGGCCCTCTCTGCCGGATCCAACCACATTCTGGCCCTGGACCACAAGGGCTACGTTCTTGCTTGGGGCTGCGGCCAGCAGAACCAGCTTGGCCGACGCATCATTGAGCGCAACAAGCTGTCGTCGCTGATTCCACAGGGCATCGGCCTACCCCGGGGCAAGATCGTCAAAGTTGCCTGTGGTTCCTACCACAGCTTCGCCCTCGACAAGGACGGCAATGTCTGGGGCTGGGGCCTGAACAACTTTGGCGAGATTGGGGCGGAAGGCAACGCTGGCGAAGACGACGCCGTCATCCTCAAGCCAGCAAAGGTTGAGTTCTTGGACAAGTATGAGGTAACCGGCATCGATGGCGGCGTCCACCATTCGGTGGCCTGCACCGACAAGGGCGAACTCCTCACCTGGGGCCGTGTCGATGGATTCCAAATTGGCTTTGAGCCGGATCAGCTCAAAAAGGACGATGTCCTCTTCGACGAGCGCGGCGACCCTCGCATTCTGATCAGGCCTACTCCGCACGCCGGTATGTAAAACCCGCTCTCTTTCCGCGTGCTCAAGATGGGCCACGCGCCTGACCAAGTATCAGGAGTCTCCAAGGTCGCGTCGGTGTCGGCCGGAACCGACAACAGCTTTGCCGTGACGGACGACGGCAAGGTCTACTCCTGGGGATTCTCGGCCAACTACCAGACTGGCCAGGGTACCATCGAGGACATTCACACACCCACGCTAGTCGATAATTCGGCCATCCGCGACAAGAAGATCCTCGCGGCCTATGCGGGCGGGCAGTTTTCCATTCTCATCGCCGCGGCCGAGGGGAAGCCCAAGACCAACGGTGTCAATGGTCAGTAACTGCCCTCGGAGGGTTGGGCCAGCAGCGTGGTGCGGCGTATTGGCAGAAGGCAACGTATCGCGTCATTGTGAACTGTGGACAGACGATTGGCGGTTTGTGCCAAGGACCAGATTCGCGGCGCTCGACAGCAGCGTGTCTGGCTCGAGCTTGTGGCTCTTGACTCATGAAGAACGAAGGGCGAGAGCTCGCCATGGAGTGCGCATACTTTTCTCATCCTTTTTTTGTGCTTTTCTCGACATCCTTGTCAAGGCTCCGCGGAAGAGTCAAGGGTTGGGTGAAGGATTAGCGAAAGATTACAGAGCGTGCTGCAGAGGGCATCGCTTGCGAGGAGCGCATTGCAAGTGTACTATAAATTTCTGGTTGAATAATGGTGATTCTATCCCTTGTGCGCCGCTGGTACCATGTCCTTTGTGACCCATTTGTCGTTGCCCGCCTCCTGAAGCCGCAGGCTGTGTCCGTCAAAACCTCGAGACTGACCTCAAGCAGTTCCGTAGGCAGCAGACCGCCGCGGTCTTTAGCCCGACTACGCAGCCCTACCCGTAGAGAAGACGTGTGACGCGCACAGTCCAATCACGAACTTGACCAGTCCCGTCTTTTTGTTTTGAGTTCACGACCCTCGCCAATATTCATGCTGTCCGAGGAGGTGAGTCCTCGTGCCCGAGTCGCATTGTCATGACACGCATCGGAGGCGCCTCGACTGCAGACCGCAAAAGGCGTCGCGACATTTTATCAATTCAAGCTCACGAGCTCCCACGTCAACCGTTTAACTTGGCGGCGGCGTGGGCGAGAGAGCCGCTCCCTCGGCTGCTGAAGATGCCGATAATGCCAAAGCCCACGTAGAAGAGGGCGAGCGGGTAGGCCACCAAGCCCCTCATGCCCTTCATCCTGCCGACGGCGCAGAACATGCCGCTGGCGCTGTAGGTGCACCAGACAATGGCGGCGCTCGTGAGGACGATACCGAGGGGCGTGTCCATGGGCATGACGACGCCAAAGAGGCTGGTGGCGACCATGGGTAGCAGGCAGTATCCGAGGACCGAGGCGGAGCGGGGGAAGGTGAGCGTCGCGGAGAAGTGGCCTCCGGGCTGCATGTCACCCTGGACCGAGGGATCGCTGTACTGCGGGTGGAAGGACTGCGAGGGATGGGGGTCCGAGGGCGACATGAGCGAGAGGATCATGTGCAGGGAAGAGGAGCCGAGGAGGGCGAGGCCGTAGATATAGCCGAAGTGGACTTTGCCCGAGAAGAGCAGGAAAGTGCCGAAGAGAAGGAAGAAGAGGATGGGGCCGGCGAGGTCCGAGTCGTCCATCAGATGCTGGTCGATGTGCCTAAAGGGGTTTAGGACGGCGAGAGTCTTGCCGGCCACCATGTCAGTGAGGGTCTCGAGGGAGCAAAGGGGAAACACCAACCTTTCTCTGGATATGTGAAAAGTTGACGCCCAGCTCCTCCCACAGCGGCGGCTCCCCGTCGTATCCCTCGGTGGAAAAGGCCGCGAGCCACCCGGTCCTGAGCCCGGCCTGCTCACCCATGCGACCGGAGACGCCGAAGCCGGCCGATGCGAAGCCAGGCTGGGCGGCCGGGCCGGCGCCGCCACTGGGGCCAGGATAGCCATAGGCGGCCTGATGGGGCGTCGCGGCACCGGAGACGGCGGGGGCGTACGAGGACGGGTAGAATTGCAAGTTCTGGGCGCCCGCGCCGGCCGCGGGAGCCCCGTAGGCAGGATTGTTGGGCTGGGCGCCGCCGTAGTAGTTGGACATGACTGGCGGGGGCACGCGGCTGGGAGACGGGAGGGGGGAGGGGGGATGGAGAAATGGCGAAGGGGTCGAAAAGCCGGACGCGGCGATGCAGGCGGCGGCGCTGGCGGGAGGTTCGTTGGAACTGTCGGGCGTGAGAGAGCTCTGCTGGAAGAACAGCGTGCAGCCAAGCTGGGCGTGGCCCACGGCGAGAGACGAGCGGTACAGCTTGCTTGTCAGCGTGCTGACAGTTGCTGCTGGAGGGGAGTGCCCGCTACAGAGTACTAGTGGATGAATGTGGGCGCCTGAAAGCTTAGGCATCAGGATCCCATGGCGCGCAAGCCACAACTGACCAGCCACGAAGCCATTCTCGTCACATCGAAGAAGAGATGACGGCCGGGATCACGAAGCCGGCAATCTTGACTGGGGAAAAATCTGCATTATGCAGCCGAGATCACTCAGCTTGGGCGACGGGGGCGCGCTCCAGAACAGTCGAGAACCGCCCTTGTGCATAACGCAACTTGACGGAGCCTTGCATCTTTGCAAATAGCTGTTATTATTTACTCGATCGACTTGAGAGCGGTACCATCGTTCGGGTCAGCGGGCGGACTACCTAGTCGGCCTGGATGTCACCAGAACGCGGGCCAGAGCCAGGCGTGTCGTGTCGTCGGCCTGCCTCGTCTGACAAGGGTGCCCGGGCCAAGATCCAGCATGAACAGGTGGAAAGACGCCCCTCGCCCGTTGAAAAAGGGAAAGAGGGCCCTGCACCCCGTACACGGGGGCGAGGTTCTATAATGTTATGGGCCGATGCGATCTGGAAACACGCATCTACTCGCGGCCCTTTCCCCAAGAGGCTGAGTAGCACTTACATATGCGGAGCCGGGCACGAGAAATTCGAGAGAACCACTCTCCTTGTCAGAGATAACACGGCCTCTCAACTGCCCCGCTGGGTCTATTGGTCAAGTGGGTAGAAAAGCCTATTGTTTGCAACTTTGCTGGCATTGGGGAGGAATTTGTCACGTGTAAAAATCTGTCAATTATAACAGTCACCCGCAGCACCATCTACTGGAGATGCATTCTACAGCACCTTTGCCTGACAAAATGATGTGACAGACTGATTTCGCCAGCGCGCTCAACCCTGGCGCCATCAACGGCGGTTGCGCCCAACCCGTGGAGACCTGCGCCCAACGGCACCGACATCTGGGCCGAGGCTGTCGCTGTGGCTCATGACAGGGCCAACCACAGGGTAGACGACTGGCTTGCGCTGCATTTCCGCAAGGGCGAGATGCATTGCGGGACGAGTTCGCAGCGGGACAGGCTTCACAGTGTCAAGGCTGTTGTGGAAATATCGCAGCATTCCGGGTTGGAATCCATGGATTGGACCGCGGAGTAAGAGTCTCTGTAATGTTATAACCTGATTCCATAATGTAAAGGATGAGACTTTTCGTGGGACTCCGTGCGACATGTACAAACGAGTATTACTCCGTGGCTTCAATCGGGTCTCGAGCCCCCTCTACCAGGGCCTCGGAGACGAGTTACACGTGAGCAGGTCTTTCGGGCCATTTGGGGGCATCTGTAGAGGCATACTGTAGACCTTTCTGATGATAACGCTCGCTGACAAGCCGTGGCCCTTCGGGTCCCCGAGCTTCTATTAGAAACCGCTGGCCCAACGGAGTGGCGGACCTGCGCCACTGTAGGGCCGCGAGCTGGGGCCTTGCAACGAAAGAGTGGCTGTGCACCATGGCAACCAGCTCCCGCCTGCGAATGCGACCTGTCAGCAACACATGAAGCGGAACAACACGAGCCCCTTTTCTTTTTTCCTCTCTCACCTTGACCATGGCTGGCACGGACGTGTTCGGTCCCGCTGCCGGCACACCGCTGCATGGTCGCCCGCATGTGCGGTTGCATGTTGATTGTTGATGGGGCCCTCGTATTGACTGTCTCTCCTCGTCGGCCTCGACTGTTGGCCGCTTGTTTTGTTGACGGGCGGCCGGGCGAGACAAAACAGCCCCAGGGTCTGGTGGCACAAGACACTCATTGGCCATGTCTAATTCCGGCCCTAGGCTCGGCATCTCCTTACTAGGCAGACTCCAAGAGGATCCAAGAGGATCCAAGAGGGACAGCGGGCTTACGCGGCGGCGACGTCCATAGCCTCCTCGGGTGGCGACTGGAAGCGTGGAGCCAACGTGCATGCACACACAATGCACACACACCCCCTCCTCCAGCCGCAGAGCTGCAGCCTGCACGGCACGGCCAACCTCGCAGTGTTCAGGCAGGGGGGAGGGCTCGACCGGCATCGATGCCTGCCTCCCGTGGTATAAAGCGAGAGAGTGCGGCCTCCCTCTCGACCCGGATCTTGCCAACCCATCTTCGAAGCTCACCATCTGTTCCGCGTCTCACTCTCTCCAGCACTCTTGTTCTTTTTGCTCAAGGCCCGTCGACGACAGCCAAGCTCTCTTTCAGCCCCCAACTTCCACAAGAATGCGCTCCGCCGCCATCCTCGCCGCCTGCCTGGCAGTCCCTGCCCTGGCCCAGTCGCCGTCGCCGAGTGCCTCTGACACAAACACGGCCGACTCGACCGACACCTTTGACGACGCCACCAGCCTCACGGGCTCGACGACCGTGACCGTCTCCCCGTCCCAGTCGACGCGTCTGCCGACCCTCGCTGTCAACTCGACGGCCCCCTCGACGGCCCCCTCGACGACCCTGACCCTGTCGTCTCTCGTGTCCGGCGCTCCGGTCCCCTCGTCCAACTCGACCGCGCACACCACGTCCAGCAAGTCGGGACGGCCGGTGCGGCCCACTGTCGCCACCGAGACGGACACCGAGACCGCTACCTCTACCAGATCCACCGGCGCTGCCTCGGCGTCCCCGACTGGGGCCGCCGCGCCCGTCGGCATGAACACGGTCTGGCTGGGGCTCGGCGTTGCTGTCGCCTTGACGATGATGCAGCTGTAGTTGCGGACAATCAACAGCAAAACGGTGGCGCTTTTCGGTTAGCCTGGGGAGGTGATTGGGATTGACGGTCTACGGACTGTGGTTTAATTGGGTTGGCTATGGTTCAATTCTTGTTGATACAATGCGCACAGAGGGTCCGGGGAGGAATCATTAATCAGAAGCCACGGCGTATTGGGGGACCCGGTATATAGTGTCACGACGCTTTTAATATGAATCAATTACGAATCCCGAGCAACAGGATTCCCGTCTTGACCACTTCCACGAGAGAATCACCCAAGCTTCCATACGGCCCCGGCTGTGTGCCTCATGTTGGAGCGGCAACTCAACAAGCCGTGCCTACAAGTTACTTCCTCAAGCCCGAGCGCGTCACAGCCGCCATGGCAGCCTGGCACGACGCCGTGAACCGGTCAAAGTCCCGTACAAGGTCTGGAAAGTCGCCAATGAGACTGATGGCGTGTGCCCGCAGCTCCGCGGCCCTGGCGCTGCGCTGGTCCGGAGGCGGGCCGGCCTCGGGCTGGGTCCCGCCTCCACCCGCCTTGATCCACAGGTCTGTGATGGCGTCGATGGTCCGTTGGAACTCCTCCCAGTCGCACTGGCGGAGGGTGTTCTGCGCATGTTGGCGTCTAGAGTCAGTGGCTTTGCCTTGCTTGGGGGCGGGATGAGCTCCGCCGCGCAAGAGGGACGTCTGTCGTACCTTGGCCCTTTCGCCGTACCGGACGGTGAAGAAGAGGGAGTCGTCAGCGTAGCCGGGCATGCCGAGCATAGCCTCGTTGATCTCGGCCGCCCGCTTGGCCCCGTCATCGGCGTCGTGGCTCATGTTGAGTTGGTTGGCTGGCTGGCTTGTTGTTGATCTAGCTGAGAATGCACGCGTTGGCTCGATGCCACCAGCAACGGCGAGAGATACACAGGAAGCAGTAACAATTAAAAAGCAAAAGGGAGGAGTGCTTGGCGTGGCAATGGTTCGCCGCGAGTCTTGTTACGCGTCCGAGGCCCTGCGCCCGGTGCGGCTGAGCTGGACGCCCGAGCCAAGTGGAATCTCACCCGAGGCGGCTGCCGTAGCTGCAGAGCTGCGCCCGTCAAGCACCCTGGTTGTCCTCTCGCGGGGATACAGGGAGGTGTTGAAGATGGGACTCGTACTCAAGGGCGTGCAAAGAAGCGGGAGTGTACAGGCACAGGTCAGTACATGGGATCTCGCGGCTTGTCTCTGTTTCATGCTTTTACGCCATTACTTTGCTACTTTGGCTTTATTCATACAATCTGGTATTCGTTTCTGTCCGAGGTTAGCCCCCAAGCCCTCTGTTTTGTTCTCCTCGTCTCAGGAAAACAAGGGCAGATGTTCCAAGCTTCTCCTCTGTCTCGCTCCGGCACACATTGCATGCTGTCTGGCCCTTGCTATAAGCTCAATCGGGCAAGAAAACACTATGAGGTGGCCTCTGGTTTCCGGCCCGTGATGAAGCGGTAGCTTGTGATGAGCCGCAGGTCGCGGTTCCGGAACTCGCGCTTGACTCCTTCTATCAACACTCGGGTCTGGTCGGACGAGTAGTTGAGCACGCGGGTGAAGAGGGCGGGCGTGTGCGAGTCGACCGACATTTGCATGTGAATCAGCTCGAACCGGCCAAGCTCCTTGAGCGCGCGGTCCTTGGCCCACGGCCCTATAGGTATCTGCAGGGGAGGTCATCAGCACCATCAGGCCCGATATATCGCGGCTACGTCTTGCGCTCTCCTTGATGGCGTCCCAATGTGGGAACAGAGAGGGGCGATGGTTCAAGACTTGGGCACACAAACGTACCCTGTGCACCACTTCTTGGACATGCTCAAAGCCGGCGTCCATCATCCATTGTTTGTGAAATCTGGCCACGTTGATGGGCTTCCCGTACATGCTGCTGGCGGCGCTCAGCTTGCTGACCCATTCCTTGGTCCAGGGTGCCCGGTCAAAGCTGTCGTCGTCGCTGAAGATCCAGGCGTCGTACTCCTGCATCTCGACCCAGCCGCCCGGGCGGAGATGGTGCATGACGCGGCCGTAGAAGCGGGGCCAGTCGGACGAGGTGCCGCTGAGGGCACGGCCGTGGACGTAGTCGAAGCGCTCGTCGTCGCGGTAGGTCCATTCGTCCTCGTAGTCGTCAACGTGGAAGCGGCAGTTGTTGGGGACCCAGTCGGGCTGGATGGGCGAGAGGTCGATGCCGGCGACCGACGCCGAGGGGAACTCGTCGGCCATGTCGATGGCCCAGATGCCGGTCCCCGTGCCGAGGTCGAGGACGCGCAGGCACGGGGTGGTCGAGGGCGCCGGCAGCGACGCCGTGTACAGGCGGCCGCCCAGCAGCAGGCGCCAGATGTGGTGCTGCAGATCGAGGCGCTCCTGTTCCTGGGCGTCGTTGGGCAACACATACTGGCCCTCGCGGTAGGCGTGGTACCGGCGTCCGTTTTCATACTGGTAATCAAAGATGGACGACGTGACGGAGCCCGTGTAGGCCGAGCCGGCGTCGGATCCGTAGGCGGAGTCGGCGTCGGCGTCGTCGTAGGCCTCGGTCTGGGGGGGAACATGTCAAGCAAGGCGACATGAAAGGACACGGGAATAAGTGCATTGAAGAACCGAGTTGAGAGCAAATGGAAGAGTGAAATGAACCACAAACTAGGCCGGCCACAAACTCACATCGACCTGGAGCGGGACGGGCTGATCGGTCTCGAAAGCACCGGCCACGGGACTGAGGAGCTGCGTGAAGCTGACGGGCGAGCGGCGGTCGAATTCATCAGGGGTTTCCCGGGTGCCGGCCGATGGGGCGGCGGCGGCGGCAGCGGGCGGCGTCTGTCCTGCCGGTGTCGCGGCCTTGGGCCCGGGCGCGGCGTCCTCGTCAGGCTTGGGGGGCAACATGTCCGACATGATCCTGGGAGGGCATTGGTATGGATGGTTGTCTGGGCGTATGTACGGGAGGTAATGCGAGATGTGCTTCTGGTTGCTGCACCGCCAAGGGGTAGTGCGCGCGCGCAGTCGACGGACGGCGGCGCAGACGACAAGCCCTGCCCTGCCCTGCCCTGTCCCTTCCCCGTCGTTCCACGCCCTGCCAGAATGCTAATGCCACCGGTAATTGAAGGCGGCGGGTGGGACAAAGAAAAGGCAAGCAAGCATGCTCATCCCATGCTTGGGGTGCGGAGAAGGAGCAGTAGCCAATCCGCCGGAGCGGACAAAGCCGGGGCCATTGACGGATCGTCTTACAGCATTACTAGCGGTGCTGTGGTTATTATTGCGTCGTACAGTACAGTACAATGCTGTTGGTGTCGTCGACGAGGCGGCAAGGCATGTTACGAGCTGCATAGTCGACATATATCATTGTACATTATATGGCTTATATGCACGCCGTCGACTCGCATAAAGACGACGACGACGACGACGACGCGTTTCAGCGCGGCGCGGATACGAGTGCCAGACTGGGCTTGCATCTCGTTTTCACTCTGCCCATGCCTGCCGCGTGAGGCTGTCGTGCAACACGGGAGTGAGCACTAAGCTCGTCAGGGATCTCTCCGCAGAGATTGCTTGCCAGTGGAAGAGAAGATGTTTGCTGCAGCGCTGTGGGCGTCGCGAAGGCAATGAGAAGAAAGAAATCGGGCTCTGGCCCCCTTTGGAGTGTGCGCAAGGAGTGGAGCGTTGAAGAAATGCACGCGAAGCTTCCCCAACGGTATCCGCCGCGTCGTACGATCTCGTTCACTTGGCTGGCCGAAACAAGTCCGTGATTCGTTGGATTCGGGGACGACCGCTCCGAACCTTGAATAACGTTCTTGATGCAGCCGCAAGCCATCATCCCAGGTTGTCGGCTATGGAAATGGTGGGATCAAGAGTAGCTATCAACATCGACACTCGCCATTGAGCCGGCAGTCAATGCCTTGCCATCTGGCCGCTGCTTTGCGAGCGGTAACACCAGTGTCTGCTTGGAGATGGAAGGGACCGTTCTGAAGATGATGCCAGCCATCAACATGATTCGCATCAGGTGTGTGATGCTCCCATGGGCTGAAAGGTGCCCAGCCTGGCCCTGACTAGGCCAATTCCCTTGAATCGGTGCCCGTCGGATTCCATGTTTCCCAAGAAACGCGGCCGGAGCGACGCCCGTCTCCCGCTAATCTAAAGCCACAGGCAGGCAAGGCAGGCCCCCTTGTCTAGACGGAATCCCCGAACAGCCTCTGTCCTACTCCCCCCAGCCCATCGCCTCCTCCCCTCGGGCTCCGAAAGGACAATCAAAAGATCATGGCGGGGGACTCGGACAAGAAAGTTGCCTGCGTCGTCGGGGCCACCGGCAAGCAGGGCGGCTCCGTCGCCCGGCGCTTCCTGCAGGCCGGGTTCCGCGTCCGTGCCGTCACCCGAGACCCGGCGTCGCCGGCCGCGGCGCAACTCGCCGCGTCGGGCGCCCAGCTCGTCACGGCGGACCTCGGAGACGTGGCGAGCCTCGAGGCGGCCTTTGCGGGCGCAAACCTCATCTTCAGCGTCACAAACTACTGGGAGCCCTTTTACCGCCAGGACTGCCGCGAGACCGCCCGGGCCCGGGGTATCTCTTTTCGTCGCTTCGCCGGCGACGTCGAGCGCCAGCAGGGCAAGAACATTGCCGATGCCGCCGCCGCCACCGTCGGCTCGCTCCATCCCAACGGGTTTCTCGTTTCGACCCTGAGCCATGCCGAGAAATGCAGTGGCGGCAGGCTCAAGGAGCTCCATCATTTCGACGCAAAGGCCGACGTCTTTCCTCACTACGTCCAGGACAAGCATCCGGCTCTGGCGGCCAAGATGTCGTGCATCCACACCGGCTATTTCTTCACCAGCTTCAACATTCTACCCAAGTCATATTTTGCAAAGGTAAGTAGCGCATGTCGGACGCTCGACCAAAGTGGTCTGTTAAACTGGCTCGCGCTGTCTGTCGGTTAACGCTCTCTGCCTCTCACATCTTTACCAAGTATGCGGAAGTAGATGCCTCTAACCATGAAATCATCTACAAGCAGCGCGAGGACGGAAGCATCGAAATGACGTTTCCCACCGCTCCGCACAAGCCCGTGCCTCACCTAGACCCTGTGGGCGACATGGGCAGCTTTGTCTACGCCGTCCATCAACTGCCGCCGGGCAAGGCCTTCATGGCAGCCGGCACGACGTGCACCTGGCCCGAGTTCCTCGAGACGTGGGGCCGGGCTGCCGGATATCCGGTGCACTACAGACAGGTCACGCCAGACGAGATGATTGCCGCGACGCCGGACACGGAGACGGGCATCGAAGTGGCCGCCATGTTTTCGTACACCTCGGACCCGGGATACGACGGCGGCATGGAGCTCTTGACCGCCGATGACATGAGAAAGGTGAGAGGAGGGCTGGGGTTCAATGGATTACATTTTGACACACTGACCATCTTTGACGCGCAGGCTGGCATCGAGTGCCCGATGACAACGTGGGAAGATTGGGCAGGGAGACAAGACTGGAAGGATATCCTGGCCAAATTGGGATGAGTATGACATTTGGTATACGGAGGCTTATCCGCGGTCTGCATGACACGACTCTGAGTTAGCTCCTAGTCCGATAGAACACTGGGGGACCTTTCTTGCAGCAAACCTGACCACGTTGTCAGAAACTAGCCGTGTGAACTGCTTCGTCTTTTGTCGGGGTGTCGATGGTCCTCTGCTCCAGCATCAAGAGCGTCAAGAACTCATCGGCTCTACTCAATATCGCCAAGGCTGGACGTGCTTGAGGCCACATCGCAACGTGCTCCGGAGCTCGACGGCTACTTAGCGCCGGCCATGTTTGTCCGTGACGAGGATATAGAGTTGGCTTTAATGCGTTTGTTGCAGTCGGCGCCCCCGGTTTTCTGACTTGCTCCTAGCGCCGGTAACACGGCCCCTCGTTGCCTCCCGGAACCCCACTAATTATGATGGCCCCGTCTCAAGCAGGGGCGCAGTGAAAGATGTAGGGGTCTCAAAGAGGTGAACGTAGTGATGCATGTCTTGGTCTAACTATCAGGACAAGTTTATTTTATTTTATTTAGGGCCTTTGGCAGCAGCAGACCCGGCCCCAGGAGAACAGTTCAACTCAAAAAGCATGGCGACAGGGGCTGCTTCGTGCGTGGAGGCCATGTTGACAGCCAACCGCTCGGCCTCCCTCCATCACTGGAAGCACGGTGTGGGAACGGGTACTTCTCCAGGATATGGTTTTCTCCCCCATACGACGAAAACAGGTATATAGGCATGTATGCGCGGATCAGCAAGCTCCCGCCGCACGTCAACTAGGGATACCTAAAAAGGTCAAGTAGATTGTTGTTAGACGGAAAAAACGGCCCTATGATTGTATTGCCGAGTTGGTACTCACCTCAATCTCCGTGGCAGGCCGATCATATGCCCTGTTGAGAAGCTGGAAGGAGAAGCCGCTTAGGCCCTGCGTAAGATTCCTCTCCCACATCCTTCCCAATTCCTTGAGCCGCTCGTCCTTGGCCCATCCGTTAATTGGTAGCTTGAAGATGCGCTGTTGTACATCGACAAAGCCGACACGTTCAAATACCTCTTTGAGAGTAGTGCCAAAAACAATAGGGCGATGAAGAGTCTCCGCAGCGACAGTTAGCTCATTGAGCCACTTCGCAAAAGGGCCGTTAGGATCGAGGGTGCCATCGTCAGAGGTAACGATGCAGTCGAATTCTTGAGCTTCAAACCAGCCGCCGTGATCAAGAGTGGCGAAAGCTTGCTCAACAACCTCCTTCTCGAACGAGGACCAGCAGCCTGAAGTAGCCCGCGTGTGTATATAATCGAACTGGTGTGAGTACTCCCACGGGTCTGATCTGCAACAGAAAGTCAGATGGGAAAGCGCTAAAGCGACCATACCTTAAAAAGCGGTGTTAAGCTCGGGGTGCTTACGAGTCCTCAACGTAAAATTTCACATTAGGCGGCACCTCGTCTGGCTGGATGGGTGATAGATCTGTAGCGATCACCTGCGAGTTAGGAAATAAGTCGCCCATGTCAATGGCCCAGTCGCCCACGCCCGTAGCCACATCGAGGACATTCCGCGGCGGTTTTGACCGAGAGAGGGGGGCAAAATAGAGCCTGTTTTTGAAGAGTCTCTTGAGAATCTGCCCTTGGTGTACCAGGCGCTCTTGCTCCGGGGAGTCGTTGGGAAAGGCGTATGCTTCCATCACTTGGGTCAGTTCGGACTCGGTTTGAGGGGCGGGGGGAGTGTCCCACAGCCTGCTCGATACGCATGATATGTGCGGCCAAACTCCTCGGGGAAGTTTTGCACGCTGTCCGACAAGGACGCCGACTCGCTTCTGTGGACACTTGTTAGAATTTCTCCATGGCGCTGCCGGTGAGTCTCGAATGGACGATGCTCACAGCGGTCCAAATAGGGGCTACGGTTACAGGCGCAGTCCATTTCAGTACCACTTCTCTGGTGATAATCCAGCAGACAGAGAGGACTACCCACATCGGGCTCAATGAAGTTCTCTGCCCCGCCAAACATGGACGAGCGGTCGAAGGTGAACTGGAAGTTGCGCAGATCTGGGTGGGCATTGCCCCCCTCATCGCCCTGCCGGGATCCGGGCCACCGATTCTCCATGGCCGTCCCCCTTAGCTTTGTGTAGCCGTGTTGTCGTAGCTGCCTTTGGCGTCTCGTAGCCAAGCCTTTCAGCCAAATTGGGCGTCGTCACGCCAGTGTAACCGCTGTGGTGGCTGATGGCTATGTATAATATGACGAGTGTCCGGATCAAGTCGCTCACCGACTCGAACCTGCTCGAAACATCTGGCATGGATGAGGTGGCAAAAAAACTACACCGCCAGTGCCAATAGACCCTCTTAGATGTCCTGTGCGCCCTCTTTCTTTTCTCTGCATCTAAGCCGTATTAGGCGTAGCTGCGGCCGTAGACGCATGGAACGTCATGATCGCAACGATGCGCATATGCGTACCGACTGTGGCCACATGCCCAGTGAGTGATATTAGGTTAATGATACGGCTTCAGAACACCGCGCAAAACACCCCACGCAGCATCGCCATACCACAACACCACGATCACGAGGGCCCAAAAGCCCATGAGGCTATAATGACAAGCTCAGCAAACCTACTTTTAACTACGGAGGACTCCGCATATCGCCTTGAGTGTCAGGGGGACTTACACCACTCTTGGCGTTATAGTCAAATAACGCTACATATAAGTTACAAGCCAGGCCAAAGGTTTGCCAAGATAAAAGCAGGGCGTTAAAAACTATAGCTGTATAAGTATATACGGCAGCCCAAGAATATTAACAACTTTAATTGCCTCTGACTGTAATGCCTAGCTAAATAGTAACTGTGAGGAACACGTACCACGGTACGATCAGCCAGGCAGTAGAGATGACAGGAGGTACGATGCGGTGTGTATTGTGTTCTTCCTCTGCAGCAAGCGGCTTGCTAGAGGAGAAAGCTCTCCATCTCACGAGCGTGGCGAGTCTCCCTCGACTCGCGAGCGGGGTAGGTCCAGAACGGCGCCGATGACGTGGCGACACCTTGGTCCCAGGTGAGTACTCCACCGCTTGGTCGGCCTGGTACCTCCTAGTAGCGGCCTCACAGTAACTTATATATAACTGCAAAATACTGTACTTTAAACTGTACAGTAGGCGCAGGGTACTGTGTAAACTGATAGGCAAGTCTCTTGCCTAATACAGCTTAGATATAGGCAGGATAAAAAGGCGCACAAGACATCTAAAGGGGCCCATGCTAATAATGAGGTTAGTTGCCAGCTTTCCATTAAGGGATTTTCCGGTGATCTGCCGGATCTGGCGATTCGCCGGATTTTGGGCTCATTGCATTCCAGCAAAGAACTGAGAATAACTTCACGAATACTATTTGAATTGTTCTAAAATCTTATAAGAGCAGTTAATAATGCTCAAAGATGCCACTCAATCTTTTTGAAGTCATCCAGCCATCGAGGTCGTCTTCTGTTACTCTCCGATCGCGCAAGTCCCCGAAATGCACCCATTGCCTCCCGATCACTATCAACAGCTAAAGAGGGCCTTTGAGGACAGGATATGTCGTTTGAAGTTATCATTGCCTTATTATTTGCGTTATTATATAGTGTGTTTGGTACCTGCAATGCTATGGCCCGCTCTGGTGTGAACGGAAGAGTGACAATTTTTGCAGCGTGAACATCCTGACTCCTCTCGCGACCCTCAGAAGCCACCGTCGCTCATTCTGCATTTTCTGTGGCTTTTCCACTTTCAAAATCTTCAGCTCTTGTTAATAATGCCAATTTATCTCCTTATTTTGCTTCACGGCCTCCGTCATCCGTCGTTTTCTCCCAATTTCCGCCTCTCATTGCTTCCTCTTCTCTAGAGCGAGAGCTTTTGCTCCGCTGCCTTCTGCTGTCGCTGAAGCTTTCGGGCCTCCTTCTTCAGAGCCTCCTCTTTCTTTTGGAGTCCTTTCACTGTCATTTTTTGGCGAGCTTGAGCCACAATTTTAGAGCTAAACACCTCGTCTGCACTAGAATCTGTACAGCAGAAGAGATCATCTTTGAAGCCTTACCGGTCTGCCTGCGCTGGTTCTTGTGACTACTTGTTCTCTGCATACTTTAACTCTCATATCAAGCACTTAAAACTCATATTGAGGGCTCCCGAGGGTGCTGCTCAGCCTTCGGCTGTTGCGGCCAGCATCAACAGAGGACTTCTCGACTACTTCCTGAAATGCGTTCCAAAACACAGTCTAGATCTTCGATTTCAGCAATCCAATGAACCTTTTGATTTGTCTGTGTACTGGATAAGATCATGCGTATACGCTGTTGAGAGAGGCTGAATAACGATACATCAAGGGTTGCAGCCGATGAATGGATTGAGGGGAAACACCACAACGATCACTCGGTGCCGGTCACACCACTCCATAAATTCGATACTAAAATGGTTAAGTGGCCATCGGGAACCAAAGGCGATAAGCACAACCGTTTCGAGCTTTCACCCTGGTAAACCGGTCGAACGTACCGGTGAGCTGCTCATTTCAATATTGTGATTCGTCCACCTCGTTTTTGACGTGTTAAAAATATTTATTGACGACTTGATTCACGTTTCACGAACCAAAAGTCCAGAGTTTGTGCTGGCTTGTCTTGGTGGATGAGAAATGGGGCAGCGATGCCATCTCTTGACTGACGCACATCTTGAACGTAAGGGAGGATGGGTTGCCATTTTTTAATACGCCGAGCAATTTTGCCTTGTTTTCTTATAATAAGAGGAATACCCTGTTCGTTCAAATGCTCATAAGGAATAGAAAGCCCATTTCATCCATGTTATACGTGTTTTAGGGTAGGGTGTCGAATTTCTCAATTTTCGTGCACGTCTTTCCTTGTCAGGTGTGAAAGCGGAGCCTCGCGCACTGAATTTCAAGCTAAAAATAAACCTTACATTCAGATGCATAGATAGGTTCTTTTCAGAAGATGCTTGTACCGTCGAATCACGTTCAATCTGGCTCATTACGGGTGCGTAGAATGAAGTTATCCAGCTCGCCCTTCCAACCCCATTTTTGCAGTATCCTGAGCCAAGTTCTGCACTATGGATAGAATGGGAGAATCCACATGATTAAAGCCTACGATGAAAGCCAATAATGTTCTGTTTTTGCTGTATTGGCTGAAATGACTTACACAATCTGTCGGCATCCTATTTTGGCCGTTGCTTGGTTTGATGTCAGCACCGCAGCGCATTGCCCCTAGATAAAAGTTCTAAATATATGCCAGACTTTCACTGCTTCTGATGATTCAGGAAATCAAAGGATACGTCAATTGGCACCGTTGTTGTTGAGCTATTGTCGATTGATGTTGAGCGTGCGAAGTCGCCGCAATCCGGCAGATCACCAGATCCGGCAGATCATCGGAAAATCCCTTAGTGCTTGACACGTACGGTAAGTGAATCTGTTGGGTACGACTGCATCTGCGTCGGTAGAGGGCTAGGCTTCACCCTTGCCATTCCCTACTTTGGTACCGAAAACCTGTAAGGGTCTTCTCACGAAACGGCAAAAGCAGTGCTCGCGCTACTAGACTTGACCACGCATGTAAGGGGCATCTTTGGTTTGCGACCAAGCAATAACCTCAAGGGCTGGCCCCGTGACACTTGTGAAAAGCTGCGACTATGCTTTCTGGCCAAGGCAATGCGTGTTCTACACCAAATTATAAAGTAGGTAATTAGATGTAAGCTTAGAATCGCAATGTGAACGTACAGCCAAAAGAGGACATACTCTCTTAAAGTGTTTATTAAACTAAAGGAGAATCATGGGAGCCAATAGAGGCGCGGACCCCCGCGCCTTTAAAGTCGGCGCGGACGTCCGCGCCTGTTATGTAAGCCCAGGCGGAAGATAGTCGGGCCGCCCCCTGACCTGTACTCTCCTTTTCTATTGCATGTGGCAAACTGTCGCACAGAGAGCCAGCCTCATATAGCATACCATCTGCGCTCAGAGTAGTTGTCCGCGGAAGCGATGCTATAATCCGCATATTAAGGTCGAGCGCCTGCATGCGTGGTGCTTGGACCCCATTGAGGCCAAAGCTCAAACGCAGGCTGCATTAAACCTCGCAGGCGGCCTCGGTTACAAGGGTTCTGCACCACGTCCACAAAGCAGGAGTTTCCTTTCCTTTGTGTATAAAGAGCTGCTCACTGTCGTGCACTACAGCTAGCTCTTCAAGATAATTCCAATATGGGGCTTACTGAATTCCCTGACGATTGCCTTCCTCCTGAGGGCCAGTTCGACTCGCGAGAGTCTCTTCTTGCCTCAATTAATGCGTGGGCGGCTCCAAGAGGCTATGCCTTCACCACAGGCAAGTCCACGAGAGACCCGCGGTCCGGAAGACGCACAGTCATATTTGCCTGCGATCGTGGAGGTAGACTTGGGGCTCATACAAGCAAGGACCAGAAGCCAGCTGATCGGCAACGGTCTACAAGCTCCCGTATCACTGGATGCCAGTTTTCCATCAATGCGAAAGAGAGCCTTGATAAGTCGTACTGGTATGTCAGGCATCGCCCAGGCGAGGAGAAGTCGGTCCACAACCATGAGCCCAGTCTGCATATTACAGCACATCCAGCTCATCGTGCCCTCTCCTCAACTGACCAGTCAGCTATTGGGAACCTCTCAAGCGCTGGCATAGCACCAAAGGATATCCGGACATATATGCGCCAGAGCTCTCAGACTGCCCAAGGAGCGACACAGCAAGACATATATAACTGTATCGCACAGCGCAGACGAGAGCTCCTTGCTGGCCAGAGCACAATGCATGCCCTTGCCAATGAGCTTGACAACGAGGGTTCCAGAGCCGCATACAGCTTGATCATGATGGCCGAGTCACAGCAGTCTTATTCGCACACCCAGCGTCTCTAGGATACCTCAACGCATACCCAGAATTACTACTGCTAGACTGCACATACAAGACGAACAAATATAAGATGCCACTGCTCGATATGATCGGCGTTGATGCCTGTCAGCGGTCATTCTGTATTGCCTTTGCCTTCCTCAGTGGTGAAGACGAAAATGACTATATCTGGGCACTGGACCAACTCCAATCGATATACGAGTTATATGACATTCGCCAGCCATCGGTTATCCTGACAGATCGCTGC